CAATTATCGCGATATTAAATTCTCTATAATATCTTCGCGATATATGTTTCGCGAAATAATTGTCGCTACATTGTCTTCGCGATTTGGGTTTCGCGATAATAACTTCGTTATAAAATTTTCGCGATTATTGATTCGCGATAAAAGTTTCGCGGTAATGTATTCGCTTAAAATGTTTCGCGATAAAAGTTTCGCTATAAAATTTTCGCGATAAAAGTTTCGCGGTAATGTATTCGCATTAAAGGTTTCGCGATAAAGGTTTCGCTATAAAAAATTCGCGATATTTGTTTCGCTATATTGTATTCGCGGTAATGTATTCGCTATAAAGGTTTCGCGATAAAGGTTTCGCTATAAAAAATTCGCGATATTTGTTTCGCGATATTGCATTCGCGGAATAGTATTCGCTATTATGGATTCGTGATAAAAGTTTCGCTATAAAATCCATTCGCGATAAACGACATTCGCGAAAAAGTGTTTCGCGATAAAAGTTTCGCTGAATTGACATGGAACCAAATAAAAGGGAATTTAATTATATCTTGATTGTAATCTAAATTATTATTCAAAGTGGGCGGGTCTAGGAGGGCACAGGAATATTTTTAACAATGCACTATTTATCCGCAATTTGAAAATTTTGACCTGGAAACCCTGTTCACATTATTTAATAAATATATATTTTATTATATCATATTTGATATTCCTGGCACAAAAATCCATTTATTTTTTTCCAAAATTATATATAAGATTAATTCATTAGGAGATCAGGCGTTCCCTCTCTACTTTGTACTGTAGGCTAATGTATAGGGCTTAGAAGGGGCAGGAATATTTTTATCCAAAATAATAATATAGGTAGTCCTGAGGAGTCAGGAATATTATTATCAACGCAAAATATTGACTGACAAAACTGATTATGACTTACGTACGATAAACTCTATTGTGTTTATGAATATATTTTAACATTTTATTTTTAGTAAATTTACCAACCAAGGGCATCCTACTATAAATAGTAGGATTTTTTTGATATCCTTTTAAAAAGACCTGTTGTTGTAAATTTAACTAGAATATAATTTAAATAATTATAAACAATTAATTCTTTAAAATAATTATTGTTTAAAAAATAAGAATATATTTTTAATATTTCTACTATTATTAACTTTCTTTCACATCCGTTTTTTTGATTTATAAATATTTATCCTTATTAAAAAATAAAAACTATATTTCCATTCCCCCTTCCATCTGTTTTTTTCCAAAAAATTATTATTTTTCATGATAATAATTTTTTTATTTAAATCATTTAAGTAAAGATTAAAAAAATGTCTTCCATGAGATTTCAACATTTATAATTCCAAAGTGCCGATAACTGAGAATTTTGCCGTCGGAAGAAATTAATTAAGTAAGTTATTTTAATGATATACTGGCCATCCGTCAAGATAAAAATAATTAAAACAGATATATTTTGACAAAGTAAATAACAGTGTTTTTATGAAAACACCGCTAAACGCTTCTACTCAATTTGTAAGCAATTTTACTCATTATTTTCAAATAAAATGAAATTAAAATACATGTGAAACCGGGGCAAAATGAGTTAAGTGTTTATTTTACTCTTACATATCTTACACTTTTTTTTGGATAAGGGGGCAGGCCTATCTTTCAGCATAAGAGTTCTATATAGGCATAAATATCATATGAGATAATTCAAAATTGAGTGCAAAATCGTCACAATCCTATTTTAAAAATATTATTCAATTAATATAATTATAAAAAAATGTTTCGAAATAAATTAGTCATTATTAGCAATTATCGCTATAATATCTTCGCGATAGTTGTTTCGCGATATTGTATTTGCGGTAATGTATTCGCTTTAAAGGTTTCGCTATAAAAAAATCGCGATATTTGTTTCGCTATATTGTATTCGCGGAATAGTATTTGCTATTATGGATTCGCGAGTCGCCATAAAAGTTTCGCCATAAAATCCATTCGCGATAAACGACATTCGCGATAAAAGCTTCGTGAAAAAGTGTTTCGCGATAAAAGTTTCGCTGAAATGTATTTACTGGCTATAACATATTATTTAAGAATTATATTATAAATATGAAATACTTGCAAAAGACCAATCTTATATATTTCTTCAATTTTTAGGTATATAAAAATTAATTATACATTAATTTAATTAGTATTATTAACATTTACACATTTTGACCAATTTTGAGAGAAATCGGTTCAATAGATAAAAAGTTAAAGGGTGGTGGCCAGTCTTTAAACATGGCCATTTATGGCACATTTCCCCTAATGGTAGAACAAAATTTTGACATGATTTGTGTTCTCCTATGTATGCAGAGCCTAAATAATGATTTCACAAATTTACACAAAATTGATATTATAGATTTACTTTTTATAAAATAATAATATTCTTTAAATAAAATTATTTATTATTTTTTTTAAAAATAATGGGTTTTTGTGCCGGGTCTGTGCTCGGGGTTCGTGCTCAGAGCTGGTTTAGTCGATATTTTCGACCCAAACCCCGGGTCTGGGCTCTACACAACCAACCAATTAACAACACTAATATGGCATCATTGTAAAATAGCATTTAATATTTTTTTATAAACGATTTTTAAAAAATATATTTAAACGCTTTTAAAACCTGGGGATTCCTATTATTAAATTATATTTACTTTGATTTTGCATTTTTCTTTTTAAAAAAAAATGAAATATAAATTAGCCTACAAACGAAGATATTGATGAAAAGCTGGGTTAATTTAAATATATTTATTTTTGGCCGAGATCGAAACTGGTCTATAGTTACGAAATTGATTTAAAAGTTTTATCTATAGAAAAAATAATTAATTTGAGCTGTAATTTTATAATTTTTTAATCAGATACACTTAAATTAATTTTTAAAAAGGAAGATTTAATAATCCCTTAATAGGCTGAATTACCAAAAATAAAATATTAAAATATATTTTGACGAGATAAGATATATTAACCTTTCAATACTCGGTGAAAAAAATATTAGTACTCGGGTGGGGTTTAATAGACCCCAATTTCAAATGTATATATCTCCAGTTACATTCATTATTTTCATTTGATATTTGGATATAAGATAGATCTAACCTTAAGCTTGATAAAATATTTTTATTTCTTTAGTCTAGATTAAAGATGATGAAAATAATTATAATTTGTGCCAAAATTTTCTAAAAAAAGCCTACTTTTTTTAAATTTCAAATATAAAATTAAAAAAAAATAACTTATCCATCATATAATCGTGATAATTCATAATATGGATCTTTATTCTTCGATATAAAAAAAATTATACTAATACATTCAAATATAAAAAAATATAGTACATTGAAATATGCTAAATTTGACATGCAAAACATTTATTACATTAAATATTAATGTGTTCTAAACATAAATTTATTTTACATATTAGACAAAAATATTTTGTTTTTTTATAAGGAGTATAGTTTTGTGCCATATTTTGATAATTTGTTTGGCATGTATTGCCTGAATGGGCATTACCATGAAATGCTGGAAGCATTTCATCTGGGGTTGCATATTCTGATATTGTATAAGATCTGTAGCAGTTATCAACAAATTCTTGATGTGAGTTGTTTTGTCTACCATTTTTCTTTCTTCTCTTGTTAATATGTCATCAAATCTATTGCATGAATTAGAAATCTGAATATTTTGAGTGTCATTGTTGCTCTAAATACAATTCCAAACCCATCAGATTTCCATAAATCTGAAATATTTTGATGATTTGATTTGAAAATTCCAGCTAAATAAAGTTTTCCCAATAATGCTTTGAATTCTATTACATCAACCTCTAGTAGAACTTTCATATTGATCAGTGTAGTTTTTACTTATATATAATTTTAATTTTTTCATTTGTGATAAATAATTTCTTCAATTTTTGGTGATATGAACAAATCAAAACATTTTTCTGGGGTGTCAACTTCTTTCCCATATTCTTTTATTCCTGGCATATGAAAAATTAAATTTTGTTGACGTGTTCTTCTTTGATTTACAATCTTTTTTGCATTGAGTCACCTTATTTTTAGCTAATTTTACAGAGAAATAGATATGATAACTAATTCCATATTTACCGAAATAATATTTTAGTTTATTGTCTGTTTCAACTAGCATATCTTCATCTAATTCAGATTGTGTATCATGATCACTATCATAAATAAATCTTCTCCTACTATCAATTACATAGTCATAATCACCTCAAATAAAATGATATTACTTCTTAAATAATTTTTTATTTACTATCAGAATCTGCAAAAATCATAGTATATGATAAAAATAATTTGAGAAATGAGCCAGATGGTGAAAATAAGAATAAAACTCCACCAAAAAAAATGTTCAAATTTTCTTTTTCATATATCTCATTCAAAATAAAAGATATTTAAATTTTGTTTTAATAAATTTTATAATATAGTAGTATATATTTATAATTATAAAAATTAAAAAAAAAAATTCATAAAAAATTACAAATTTATTCTGGTGGGGTCTCACAAACCCCAATCAGTCACAAAATGCTTATATCTTAAAAACTACTCAACCGAAATATATGAAATTTGGAATATAGATTCTAAGATATATTTAATGAAGCCACTGAAGAATCCAGATCATAATATTTAACCCTTTTTATGTAATATCATTTCTAGCATGCCTGGGGTTTCATATACCCCACCAGAGTATTGAAGGGTTGATATTAATAATAATATAAGTGCATATTTTAAGATTTTTTCTTATGTATTATATTTATATCATATTTGACATCCCCTTTCTTTGTATATACACACAAAGCAAAATTAAGAAATTTCTTGTAGCCTTAAACTGGTACAAAATGAGAAGAGAGAAAATATAGTATACTATTTGATAAATGATAACCTCCTTGATCTCTTTAATGATTAGCAATATAATTGTTAAGATGTGTGTTTGATAAGTTCAACTAATACTTATGAATTAATAATATTATCTTTTTAAAAAATACATAGTTAATTTAACATGGACCTAAAACCTGTCGTGCTATGTGGACCTTCGGGTGTCGGCAAAAGCACTTTCATCAAGAAATTGCTTCAAGATTACAAAGATGTTTTCGATCTTAGCATATCTCGTAAGTAATATAGTAATTCATGTTTTGGAAATATTGATTTCAGGGGGGGGGGGGGGGTTAGAAGTAAGGAATAGAGATAAATAAATAAAAACTGAAAAAAAGATTAGAATACTAGAAAGATATAATATTTTTTTAATTTTGTTGAAAACAGACACATCAAGAAAACCCAGGAAGGGTGAAATCGATGGAAGAGGTATTTGATATGAATATATTTTTAAAAATATTTTCTACAAATGTTTTTCGATGATACCATAATTTATAATAAAATATTATAATATGGGTTGGAAGTCCGCATAAAATCCGTATACCTACAAAGGACCGATTTTTTTTTGAGACTAAATTTTATTATTCGAAGATATTTTGCCCAATATAATTTCATTTCATCGAAATATTAATTTCCTTCAATAATAAGATGTTGAAGTCAACGTTCATCAACCTGACATAAAAAGAAATTTAGTTTTATAATTATTTTATCATTAGTTTATGGGCTAGGGCTATGGCTACTTCTATTTGTATTTTCTAAAATTATCTTTATAAATAATATATATATACTTAAAAGCTGATATACATTTTTCTTTCTTTTATTTTATCGGTTTAGAAATTTTTTTTTAAATACATAGCATGGAAGTTAAAAAAAGAAGTTAATTTATGATGGTTAAATATCATTTTATATCAGTTCAATATAAAAGTATCTTCCTGGTATCGGGTTCAGTGTATCTCTATCAAAATTGACTAACTTATACCTTAGAAAAAAATAATCATTTTGTAAAAAAACGGCTTATATAAAAGTTATAAATTTTATAGATAATCAATTTTCGATGGTTATCTTTTAAAAAACAACTATTTTTTATGTATGGTTTTAGAATACCATTTTGTTTCGAGAGAAGAAATTAATAAAGGGATATTGGACGGGGAATTCATAGAGCACGCCGAATTTTCTAATAATATATACGGTACCAGGTAATACATATATTTTTTTTTTATCTGATCTCTGATATTTATTAATTATTTAATTGAATAAATCCTTCATTCTTTCTTTTAATCTCCTATCATTTCTTTGATCGACAATAATTTCATTTGTTTCCTAATTTGAGTCATTTTTATTGTAATTTTTAATATTTAAATCATTTATAGCGCCTTTTTTTAAAAAGATTTGATTTTGCTTAAATTATATTACAATGTTTATAGTACTCGGTGTAAGAGTTTTACAGAACTCGAGTTGTGGTGGTAAAATATGAGCTGGATTGAGACGCGTGAGTTAGCTAGAATTGTGGGCTTCAAAGTACTTAACTTACACTATGAATTTCAAACAATTTTTGTCTTAAAAATTTTGAATAAATTTTAATTATATATTAATTAAAGTTAACAAAATTTTATAACAGAATTGTGTAAAATTCATAGCAGTAGTATACACATCCTGAGGTACAATTCTGGTAAAATTAAGTCTTTATAAATTATTATTTTTTTAAAACATGTGCTAAGTAATTTAAATTCTTATTCGCATTGCCTTTAATTCCAGTATGCTCTACGATATATATTTAATAATTTGTTCCCTTAAACCAAAAGCAAAAAAGCTATAAGAGACATACAGAAGACTGGTAAAATTTGTATTTTGGATATAGACGTGCAGGGTGTGAAACAGCTTAAAAATCTCGGAGATAAACATTTCGCGCCCATATACATTTTCATAATGCCACCGGATATGAAAACATTGGTTATTTTTGTTATTTTTCATTAACTCTAATCAATCACTGGATTTGATTCTTACTGATTGACTAATGCTAAGTCTCCACCTCAATTTTTTTAAATATAGTTTTACAAGAGTTAAGCCATTGAAAGAATGGTAAATTCTGGTGCAAAACGATTCCTCTAGATAATAATAATAATTGAATGATAGCGTTTCCTAGACAGGAATTTATATGTTAGCGGCAATGTGTTTTTTCCGGCAATGTATTATTTTTTCAATTTTAAATCATATTTTGAAAGCGTTTTTTTTTGAATTTAAAAATAGGATTTTACCGGAAATGTATTCCATCATGCTTGGAATACCTTCCCTAGGAAATTCAGATAATTTTATAATGAGCTTTTGAACCTAATATAATTTATATAATTTCTTCCACAGATTTTTCATATAAATTATAAATAACTAAAATTTAAAGGTAAAATTATCTACAATTCATAAGATGGGTATTCTAAACATGCTGGAATTCAATTCCGGTAAAATCAGATTTTTAAATTTAAAAAAACGCGCTAAAAAATTGTTTTAAAAATAACACATTGCCGGATAAAAAATATTGCCGCAAACATATATAAATAAAACTAGCAGTGGCGTACCAATGAAAAATAAAAAAAAAAAAAATTTTTAAATTTTAATTTAATAAATTCTTAATAAACGCTTGATTTTTATGTTTTAAATTTATTATAAATAATAATAGATATACACATTTGATTATTTTTATATTTATTAAATAAATTTTATATTATTTTGCATTTCATAAAAGTTGTCTAGTTTGTCATATTCCATTTTATAAAAATGTATATTTCTCATTTTCAATATGAAAAAACAATCATCAAGCAAGGAAAAAGATTCAACAGATGCCGAAAATCTTTTGCAGGCTATTATTAAGCCACAGTTTTTAATTTCAATTCAATGTGTTTATTTTTTATTTAATTATACATCTGATTTTAGCAAAATGCTACAAAAAATCGATTTGGATTTAAGGGAGATTATGAATAGAGCAAAGGATATTGTTGAAATATTAACAAATATCAGAGAGAATGTGGATGAAAAATTTCATGAAATATATGAAAAGGTAAAGGAGATTGCTAATATATTTGGAATTGAAATTTTTAAACCTAGAGTAGTCTCTAGACAATCCAATCGATCAAATATTGATGCATCTACGATTGAGGATTATTATAAAATAAACATTTTTATTCCCCTTATTGAAACATTTTTATTTCAATTAAAAGAAAGATTTATTAGTCATAATTATATTTTAAAAAGCTTTTATTTTCTTTGCCGGTTGAGTCTAAACTGTTGATTACACTTGAAACACGAGAGGATAAAAAATCTCAGAGTTTTATGCTGATGATTTAGGGTTCATATGATAAGTTACTTCGTGTTGTCGAATTTTGGTATAAAAATCTTAACAGAATAGGGTTTTCTTTGAGACCAAAAAATGCTCTGCAGGCCCTTTCCACGTGCAATTGCATTTTAGATTCCCTGCCTAATATCAAAACATTATTAATTATTTTAGCTACTTTGCCAATTAGTACCTGCACTAATGAAAGGTCTTTTTCAACTTTAAAAAGGTTAAAAACCTATTTAAGAAACACAACCGGTGAAAAACGTTTAAATGGATTAGCCCTATTGAATATTTATAAGGAGAATATTTTAGATAAAAATTTGATTCTAGATGCATTAGCAAAATCTCAGAGAAAAGTAGATCTCTCTTTTTAAATTCAAATCAAAAAATAGCAATAAAATTTTATTCGTTTTAATATATAATCAATTTTTTTTTGTAAAAAATGTATTATTTATAAGATAATATCATCATATTTTTTTAAATACCATTATTTTCATAAGAATTACACATATTTTATATAATTGTAAAAAATTACTTTTTTTTTAAATAGAGTCTTTATACATTATAATTTTTAATATTAAAATCTGTATTATATAAAATATCAACATTTTGAAAATATTTTAATTAATAAAAATATATACAAGATTAAATAAAGGAATGTAAAATATATAATAAAATACCCTAAAATTTTGTTATATGAATATATAAAACAATTTTAACAAATACAAAAATATAAGCAATTAACTGGTCAAAAAAAATTGGATGTGGGGGCGAAGCCCCCCCCCCCCCATGATAAAATCTTGGCTACGCCACTGAAAGCTAGTGATGCACTGGATTTAAATTTTTCAACCGACCGGACTGATTCCAATTTTTATTTCTGTCAGAGATCTAATATAATTTTTTTTAAAACTCTTTTATATTTAGAATTTAGTTTTTATAAAAAATCAAATCATAAAAATTAAGTAATTTATCCTCAATAAATAGTATTAATTTGTTTCGATAATATAATAAATGATCAAATATGTATTTGATAAAAAATATAAAAATGAATTATTTAAAAGTTTATAATTTCTAATCAAAGTTTGAAAAATAATTTTCAAATATTTATGTGTAAAGATTTTTTTTACTTTAAAATTTTTGATCAAAGATATTTTATGCATAAAAATTCCAAATGATTTACTATAGAAAATTTTGGGATTTTTAAATAAAATTTATTCAAAAACATGTTTAAAAAAAACTATAGTTCTGAGTTTTATTTATAAGACAAAAATTAACATTTCTATTTTTTCTGACCTTTGACATATTACTTTAACCAATTATTTTAAAAATGTAACCTGTAATTAAATTGTAATTTTAAATTTTATCGATATAAAAATGAGGTATTAAAATAGATATATTTATTCAAGAAATAATTGCACTTGGAAAAATAAATTTTTTTAATTTTTAACATATATGCCTACAAATTAAAAAAAAAAATTTAAAACAAATGCGAAATATGTCAAAAATTAAATGAATATAATGTTTTATGTTATTTTCATAGAACCGGCTAGACCCAATATCCATATATAAAAAACAATCAATTACGGCATCATAATAATTTTACTTTTAATTAAAACGATTTAAATAGCATAAATCTTTTAAATTACCCCTTGGGTTAGTGGAAAACCTCTCAAGGTCGAAAATAAGAAAGTATCACTTACAATCTTTCAGATTTTCATTTTACCATCTGATATATCTTTTTATTTGTTAAAGGAAGAGAGATTGAGAGCCAGGAAAACGGATAGTGAAGAGGCAATCATCAAGAGACTAAATACTGCCGAACAAGAAATCAAATATGGTAAGGGGTTTTTTTTATTATCTCTATTTAAATTTGTAAACATTTCTGCTCATTCGCAAAAAAGAGTTTTCTATTTATAGCTTGAGACACGCTTGCACCAAGTTCCGTGTTATATGAGGTTGAAATGAGGTATCGAAACTTGCGCGATTATTTTCCAATTGATTTGTTGTTTTTTAAGACTATTGTTTACAAAAAGAAAGAAAGAAACCATAAAACTTATTTTTTAATTTCTTAGCTAAAGAACCTGGTAATTTTGACGCTGTCATTAAAAACGACGATTTCGACAAAGCGTATTCACAATTCTTAGATTGCCTCAAAGAAGTTTTTAATATTTTTTTTATCACTTTAACCTCTTTTTTTTTTTCGAGTGCGATGTAAAAGTGGTTATTAATAAAAAATAATAAATATATAATATGGGAAATGAAAAAATCGATTCCTATTGGAGGAGAATTTGCATTGTTACACGAACTGAGAAGAAATTATTAACTAAAATATGGCGCGTTATCAAGAGTATGTTAAAAAAATATGGAATCCTGTGGGAATCGAACTATTATACCGGAATAAAGCTTATGAGACATAACCTAATTTTAATATCAAATCATTAAAAGGAACGAACCGAACCTTAGATGATTTTTCTGAACTGGTGTAAACCCGTTTTATTTATATGTATATAAATTTTAATTTAAGACCATATGTTTGATAAGTAAGAGATTTTTATTATTTTTTGTAAAGATAATTTTTGCTAAATTTTGAAAGGATTTTTTAATATTTTTTGTTGTTTGATTATATTTTAATTTTAATAATTTACCTTTATATGATAATATAATTTTTATTAAACATAACAAATTACAATTTATATTATTGGTATACTTTTTTTATAGTGTGTGTGTGTGTTATGTTGTATATTTCCTTATAAAATGAGTTCACATTTTTGCGTATATTTTCTATACTTTTGTTTAAGAAAAATTTGATATAAATATCAGAGACCTGCAGAGGTGCCACTTGGACGACCCGGATTTTTCTAAAAAAAATTTTTTTTTAATTTTTATAGCTAAAAATGGCATTTAAAATATTTGAGTTTGAAATATATGGCCCAGTCCGAGTATTTAAAAAAAAATTTTAGGCCTGGCCCGGGTATATTTAAGAAAATTAAAATACAGCCCGGTTCGTGTACCCAGGCCGGGCTTAGGATCGGGTCTGCAGGTCTTTGATAAATATTAAATAAAATTTTAAAACCCGAAAAGAAACCTTTACAATTTTCTTCCGTAAACGAACTGAAACTTTTTTAATTTTTTGCCCCTGAGCCTTAACCTTTATAGATAACGGTTCGGATCTCTTTAAAAACATTTAATAATATATCTAGTATAGTTAAATTGAAAATGTGCTAAAGAAGTATATAATAGAAATCATGAAAAATACAAAATTATAAATGAAAGTAAAAAAACAAGGGAATCATCATAGATTAGACCTGTGCGCCAAAGCCTAAATTTACGTCGGCTGTTTTTGAATAATTTTTATCGGCGTTCGGCTGTGCGCCTATTTTGCCCCGCCTAATAATTTAGCAGCTGTCGTGGCATGCTATTAAAAAAATATTTTAATGAATTTAATTTATAATTTAATGTATTACATTTTTTTAACAATGTATTTGGGTGCTCTTAGTTCTAACATTGTTAATATAGTTTAATTCATTTCTTAAATTATTTTTTGTCTCACTCCTATTTAAATTTATGTAATTTTCTAATTCTCAGAAATAGACTAAGGAATTTCATTTTTATTCAGATCAGAGTCAGATAAACAACACATTTTAGTGAAATTCTATTGATTTTTATTAAAACATATTGCAAGTAAAATATAAAGGAAATATAATAAATTAGAAATCAGATTTAGTAAAATTATAATTATCATGAATAAATAGTATTTTATCAAGATCCGTGGGACATAAAGAAGTCCCTTTTTTCATTGAGTATTTATCCAACTATGGAAAAAATTCTTCTACTGGGTATAGTGATTGTAGGTAACATAGAACTTTGCTAAATTAGCAAGCCTAGGAGGTTCTAGTGGCTTTTTTTTCTAAAGAGTTAGTATATTCTCTTCTGGTATACTAATACATTCTTGCTATATATTGCTAATGTTATCATAATCGTTGCTTGAAAGGAAATGCGAGCTATTTTAGTTATATATCAACTAAAGTTTTATTTAATTAAAAATTGCAATGTTGTAGAATTCGAATTTAAATATTCTGAAACAAGCTAAAGATTTTTTAATCTCGGATCAAGTAGTTTTGCTAATATTTAATGTTTAAAATATAATTTTATTTATAAAAATTTAATATAAAATAAATTACTTAAATTTCAGTAATTGGAAACTTATGGTCAAGCTTTTTTTAGATCTCTTGTTGCATTGCAATTTATATTATCAGCCTCACAGATATCTAAATGTCATCAAGGTATGGATCAGAATCATCAATATATCCTGTCTCATAAATTGATTGCAGACATTTACGATGCTTATCCTCAATTTCATATTCCAAATCAGCTAACTAGATATCTGAGGGCTGAAATGATTTCTCTAATTTTTTTAATCAGAATATTAAATCTGGCAACTTTTTTATGCCATCAACTGTAGCTAAATTATTAAGTCCATGATCTAAACTTAAATGATGCTCATAATCCCCCAATCTGACTTGACATTAACCCCAGCATAGTTACCATCTATATTATTTTGTTTTTTAAATGGAATTCCTCTTCTCTACTATCCATCTCAGATAATATGGTTTCAGCAGTATGCTTTTGCGTCACGCTTCTAGTTGCCAAAATATTTTAAATCAAAATTTATATTTAAATGACGAAGACTAAACGTGATGATCTGTTAATAAATTAAAAATGATAGTAGATAATTTTAATCCAGAATCAATCAGATTTTAAAATGCGCCTTTAGATTATGAATAAACATAATCTAGTGCACCCCGACTAATGGTTGTCCTATCAGGCAATTTTGACGAGAAATCAAATATTATATTTTTTTAGAAAATTTATATTTTAACTTTCATTTTATTTAAACTTCAATCTTTAGAAAATCAGTTATTCCTTTATTGTCTATAGAATCAAATGGCTTAAATCTATGCATAACATCAAAATATAATTTTATTAGATTTTATACATTAAAAAGATATTTAAAAAACATCATAATAACTAAAACTGTAATAAATCAAATTTTTGATAAAGGTTTATATAAATAATTTTTTTATATATATTAAGTTTATACATTAAAAATATACTCAAAAAAACATCAATTAAAGCTGGCAATAAACAAACAAGGGTGGTTAAAACGTGTAAGTCCATAAAAAATAAATATATATTAATATTTGTGTAATTATTAAATATGATGTATGAATATGAATGAATGTAAATGATATACACTATTTTATTATATGCCAATAGAATACAATTCATATCTTAATTTTATTCGTGTCAACATTCAAATTTAAATAATATATAAAGATAATTAAATATCATTCTAAAAATTAAACACGCCGAGCCGCCACCATAAAAAAATCGACCGCAAACCTGACCACGCCGTTCATCTCAATCGGCTTTTCCGGCGTGAATAAAATTGCTGGCGGCGCATAGGTCTACTTGAGATACATGAAATAGAGTAGAAAAATGCATAATATATGAATGAAAATAATAAAACAATGAAACCATCATCACTAGAGACAGGAAATAGAATTGGAAAAAAAGATTAATAAATTATATATTTTCTATATGCATTATATTCTGAAAAATTACGCCAGGCTCTCTAACCATCCAACCTAAGGTAAATTATTTTACTGGTAGAATTTTATTAACGTTAAGTATCCTGGGAATTGTAAAAAAATCAATTTATAAGATTGATAAATATTGTGTTAATGAACTAGACAATGGTATTTATAGAAATATACCTCGTATATTATTCCGCATAGTTTCGGACATAATCAATATATTTAGATTTGGGGCCCTAGATTTTTTTAAAACACTTGAAAATTTCGCCTTATTTCAGGTGATCCTCTGGAGGGATTTTACCTTCATCATATGATTTCATTTAAGATAGGCAGGTCAGGTTTTGTCAGCTTAAGGGACCCTCTTTCGTTTATTTTATTGTATTTTTTATATGTTATTTTAAGATTCAGAAATTTTTAACTTTATATCTATTTTTAAATTTATTTTCCTTTTTAAATATTTATTTAGATTTTTTATATACCTTGCTAAAATTAAATATATTTGAACAAATTTTTTTTATCGTTTATCTACTCTTTAGCTTATTTATACAAGAGTGATTTTTAAATAAAAATTAGAATTTTTTTTTAAAATAAGAATCGATGATTATATTTCAATCCCTTCCAAAAGTGGAGATTATTAATTCAGCTGTATGAAATACCTTAAAATTAATTTTACTATAATTTATTATAAAAAAAATATATAATTTATAGACAATCAATGAAGCTGGACGTCTCAAGCTAAAAGTCTAAACCTGATCATTTTTTTACCTACAATTTCTTTACAATATAAATCAAATCCTTAGGGTATATTTAAAATTATCGGTAAATGATGTATTACAATTTAAATCGCAAATATAATTTAATATACAAAATTGCTGTTGTGATTTATAGGATTTTAAGTTTCACGAAATTCGGCTACCAAGAAATTTATATTATCACAATTAATGATAAAGTATCTATTTACCCCAAAATATTGGGAATTGTATAATTTTATAAAATTATAAATATATTTAATATAAATTTAAATAAATATACTCGGACAAATATTATACTCTTAATTCAATAATATATAGTATTTGTAAAGTTTTTTTGCAAAAACAATATTTTATCAATTATTTATTTTAGTATTTAAAAAACTTTTATTTATAATCACGAAAACGTTTTATATTTTGTGACAAATATAATTATTTATGAAATAAAATTATTAGCTACAGAAAATGGGTCAATTCTTAGTCTATTTTATCTATAATCCGCTATTTAGTGCGGCCTTTTTAAAAAAAAATCCTACTAATTTGTTTTTCAATTGAGGTATTAAAAAACATTTGCCATTCATAATAAATCGATTCTATAATTTCCTATTTTCCTCGCGCGCTTATAATTTTCCTTAAGAATAAATTGTTAAAAATGAAAGATAAAACATTATTCTTAAATAGATTACAAAATATTATTCACTAGATAAGTTATATCTTTATATAAAATTTACATTAATAAATGTAATTTCATAAAAATATAGGTAATGAATATCTTAAATATATATTCAATATTGAATTAAGAGATATATATATTAAGAAAAAATAAGGAATAAAGATAGAAAATCTATTAATGCTGCTATAACTTATAAAGAATTAAAATTATATTAAATGACATTCCACATAATTGTTATAAATAATTTACAAGGTTTTTATTTTAAATATATAATTTTTTATAAGATTTAAATAAATTTTTGTAAAAAATATTTCAATAACAATATATGACATTATTTAAGGTTTGTAGTTCTAAGATATTCGTGAAATATTCATTCATATAACAATAATCATGGATAGTTATCTAATAATTTCCTTAAATTCATTAAATACCATATTTTTATTTGGTAAAAGAAATATAAATTAATATATTTATATCAAATAATATTGCTTAATTAATAAAAAATCCTTTGAATAAAAATTATAGATAAAAATGTTTTTAGTAAACTCAACAAAAAGATATTGCAATATCAAACTATCTTATCTTTAGAATATAAAATCCATAATTAATCGAATACTTTATTTGAGTAAATATGTTTCATCTGGTTTTATTGCATAATATGATATTTAAATAACAACTTGTTCACTTCAATCGTTTAAGACGCCATTTAATTGTTAAAAAAATATCGAAAGCAAAATCGTATGCAATAAAAAAAGTTATTTAAGTAGTATTTATTTTTTCTAGCTTTGAAAAAACGTTGTATTTGGGAATGGCCTTATAAACATTAACTGAATATTTTAAACTAAACTATATTGCAAAATTCATTTCGCGGCAAACATTATCCTCGTGTCAATTATTTTGAACTAATCCATGATGATATACTGCATTTTAAGGCTACTTTTTGTGTTTAATCTATTTAGTAAATTTAATTCATTGGAGTCAAGTCATGTCTCATTTTACTCAAAATTTTTTGATTTTTAGCCAATTTGAAATATTTTTACAAAGTTTTTCAAAATTCCCGATATTCCAAGGACGGGAATTTTATATTGACAGTTGCTGTTCCACGTTTATATGTACACCGATAATTGTATTAGAATGCAAAAATATATATTTTCGACAAAAATGAGTAAGAAATATAGAAATAATAATTTAAAAATATTTATACATTTTAGACTACTGATAAGTTGGTGACAATTTACTTGAATTTCTATTTTATTTATTACTTTAAAAATATAATTATTATAGGATTGATTATATGAGAATGAACAAGTATAAATAATATTAGTTGTAATTCTATTTATGAATGAGTAACAATTGTATATTATCCTTTTTTTAAAGACAAAAATAGATATAATTAGGTGCTTGAAATATTTTTTAACCTTTTCTAGCCATAATTAGATAAAATTAAGTAGTTATAAAAGAATACATATACATATACTTGCTCAAATTAAATGATAATTTTTGATATAATATTATCTCATATTATTCAAATTTCTTATTCCACATCAGGTCTCTTTAAATCTAACATTAGAAAATAACGTCACTAGTCTATATCAGGCTTACCCTGTCTATTGACAAGATATAAATTTTAAAATTCTAAAAAGGGCCAACCCCTTACACCGCCAATCCTGTAAAAATAAATACACTAATTGTAATCATAACTCGTAAACTAGAAACTTACCAAGAGTTTTTGGTATTGGATCAATATTATAAAGCCTTTGAGAGTAGCTAAGCTGATAGTGCCAATTTTCTTTCACAAGAGAAAATAAAATATTAGTAAATTAGATAAGTATTATTAAACCTTAGGAGTTTGAAATGAATAATGTTAATATTTTATACTACATGCAATAGTTTAATTTTTAAACAATTTTTTTTTTCCAATCCAAAATGTTGTTTAAAATTTTTACCACGTGCAGTAAAGAAAATCGTTTCAAACTATTCTCAAAGGTTTTGCAATACTCATCTACTATTCCAAATTTTTTATTTAGTTTAAAAAATTTCATTTCTTCTTGGAGGAAAATAAAATAGGATCAACTTTAAAATGATAATATAAATTAGTATAACATATTTTTAGTCTTTCTATATTTAATTTTAAAATAATTAAAAAATCATTTTTTGAATAAAATATTTGTTCTTTAAAGCTATAATATAAGACATTCTTTTTTTTGGTTATCAGTTCTTCTTGGTAAAACATGTTTCCATCAAAGATGGCCCAATTTGTATTTTGACCTAAAAGTGTTAGTAATATTTATTAGGATAAAATTTATTTTTATCATTTTATTTTCTTTTTTACTTTCAGTATAATTATCTAATGATCACCATTATATCCATTTCGTTGATGTATTTATTTTATTCAGAATTCCGATTATAAGCGTTATTTTTTAATATAATACTATATTTTACAAAAAATTGTTAGGCGGTGTCCTAGTTAGTCGTATTTCTAAACAGTCGTATAGAGCTGCCTAAAAAAGAGGTTACCACGTATTTGGTTTATTTGTTGTACCAAAAAGGTATATATAAATAATATTTATTTCATGTAGTTCCCTTTCTTTCAAATAGGGTGTCTTAGTTCAAAATCGTGCAACCTGGGTTAAATAGAAATAAATGTCAAAATAAGCCGAACCAGGATACGGTCTTACTGCTGGTTTGAATTTCTGACTTATAGCATACTTCGATCATAAAAAAATTTATTTACTGAATTATATATTCAAGCTACCTTTTATTCGATAGTAAATCTAAACAATTAATACAATATTCAATCGTGATAATATATAAAATAATATTTCGTAAAACAATAGCTATACTAAATTCTATATAAATAATTAGTTTTATATGAAATCTAATCCTAATATATTATGTTCTGATAAGAATCGAAATATAATATAAAAAAAATTGAAAAATTTTATAGTATAAATAAATAATAAGAAATTTTTTAAAATGTATTTTATACTATGAGTTTCAATGTGTAGAAAAGGCAGGCATTCGCCATTTCCGAAATTTTAAATATAATTATTAGGGTCTTTTTTTACAAAAAAATTCAATAAGTATTTAATGTAAAATATGTTGGATAACTAAATGTTCTAAATGGATGAAATAATCTAAAAATTAAATATGATTAAAATAATTATTCATGTTTACAAATTTATATAACATTTTTTTACTTAAATGATGAGCAGTGCTTGCTAAACATATAATTTGTATGTAATTGCATAATCATTTGTAAATAAAAAAAATAAATTTGAGTGAACTATTGATATTTACATCTTCTTCCTTCAATACAATGAGTACTCGTGTTTTATTTTAACATACTATATTGATTTGGTAAAATATAAATATTGTATAATTATTACCGAAATTATTTTTATACTTTTATCTAAATATGGCAATAAAAAAATAAATTACTCTTTTTTTCCTCTTCTTATTTAATTAAATTCCTCTTTCTAAAAATAAATTATGACCGTTAGTTTGGGATGAATGCAAAGATTAATCGTCCACGCTTAAAAAACTCGAATTATTGTCTGATTTTGTTACAGAATCGAACTTTGAATCCGAAATGAGGCTTTTTCTATTTATCACATCACCATCTTTAACTTCCTTATCAAAATTAACATTTCGGCAAGCACCTTCATTGCTAATACGCTTAACACAATTGTCATCGTCAATATTGACTTCAAATAACTTGGTATTATCTTCCGATAATTTAGTGTCCAAATAACTTTTGTCTCTTGATTTAGTTTTATCTTCTCCCTTAAATCGAAAAGAGCTCAACAAACGACGGTATCCTTGTTTGTTGGCAGAATTGGGTACTGTAATATTCTTGGAATCAATAGCCTCTTTTTCGATGGTGCCATTAGTACTAGTCTGATCTGCCAGAGTATTCTGAGTGTAAATATGGTTATTTTGATTATTATTGATGTCTTTCTCGCGGCAATAAGTAGTGATAACGTGACGATACCTGAGGTAACCAGCGAGCATCACAAGTGCCGGTATGACCGAAAAGACTCCTATAATATAAAAGAAGCCGGTAAAATCGATATAATTATTTGTCGTATGATGGATGTCGCCAGTCAAATTTTTACCAATATTTATAAATGATCCATTCGTTTGGTTTAAGTGATTAAATAGGCTTAAATAATCATAAGACTGATTGAATTTAGACGTCAAAGGTGAATGAGATAACGAAGTTTCGTTTAAAATGGAATTAAGAAGATGAGACGATAAAGTGGCGCGGGAGGGTGAAGAAGTGTCAAAATCAGATAATTTCGTAATTTTATGATTTCTAAAAGTTTTAGACGAGGACATGTCGAGAACAAGGCCCACTAATGGACCCTCCAAAAAGGTTCCAAGCGAACCAAATCCATTGATGAGACCTATCAGCGCGGAAGGAGATTCGACTCGAAAGCAGGAAGATATGAGTAAGGGTACAGAGGAAGAAAGTAGGTTGTCTACTCCACCATTCATTACACCTGGGAAATGTGAAAAGGTAAAATGCCGAATATTTTAAACATAAGATTGAAAGAAAAAAAAAGGAATGAAAGGAGAAATATATTGATTAATATATTATAACTTGTAAAATATAGCTAGTTGTATCATTAAAAAAAGTTTTAATTTTCCTATAGTGGGACTTTATGTTAATAATATAGAAACCATATTATAATTATCATTATAAGATAGTGCGGAAAGGAAGGAATAAAAAGTAATAAGATTATCGAAACATGAACATGATATAAAATATAAACTATAGGTTTTCAAAATTCATCTATGATAGTATAAATAAATATATCTCGAATTAGAACCAGTGCTGGACAGGTGTTGGTTATACAATGGCCCGGATCGGTACTGGTTTAAGATTTTATATCTTTATACTTATTAATACAATTATCACAATTCAAGAGTTTAAATAAACCCGCTAATAAAAGAAAAGACGAATTAATCAACCAATGCCATGAGGGATCCGTGCTAAGGATGAAACCGAAGACCATTATGATGTGAATGAACAGAAAATAAATTATTCCCACGAATTGAGTCTTGTGAAATACTCTGTGAAAAATTTTCAAAAAAAAAATTAATATACAAAGAGGGAAATATTATAATATGCAGAATTTAATTTTTAATAATTTTGTCATACTTTTTGTATAATCTTATTCTCTTCCTTTTCTTCACCAATTTGAACTCTTTTTGATAATTTACTCGGAATTGTTAAATTTAGTAAAACCCTTAAGCAAACAATTTATAAATTTATCAACCAAAGGTTTTAAAAGATACTCGTAACCCGTTTCTATTCATCAGTCATTAATTATGCCACAATAATTGTCAGTAAGTAAAAACTTGGTTATGACAGATATTGAAGTAAAATCAGACAGCCAAAATGTTCTGAGGATATTATATCACCTTATAAAGTAAAAGTAATTCGTCAAATCAGGTAAAACGTAAATTTAATGTCCACATTAAAACTTCTGTAGGGTTAAAGAATATACTTTAAAAAAACAAAAGCAACATAGCAAATTAAAAAGAATGAACTGATTTCAAATATATAGGATGATCACTTATTTTTTAAGTACAATAATCATAAAAAAGCCTAACTTGCGTTGCCTTTAAAAAAACTCAAATCAATTAGAAAATATACATATTATATTTCAACATCAAAATCTATAAAAACAAGGTGCATTTCATCATTAAATCTTAATGTTGTAAACGAACGCGTTCAAAATGAACGCGTTCGTGAACGAAATTCGTTTTTTAGAAAAAAATAATGAACGGCGTTCCTTTTATTTTTGACGAACTTTGAACGTGAACGCGTTCCTTTTTTATTACGAACGCGTTCGAATTTAACGTTCGTTCAATTTTAAAAATACTTTTTATTTTTATTCATTCGAAAAATTTAATATTTCCGAATTATTTTAAAAAATGTATTATTATTTTTTTAATCGGCTGTGTATTTCCTTTTCACATTTCAATTTTTTTAACACATAGTTTATTAATTTGAATATTATTGTTTATATTTTAATTTAATAGATTAGTATAAGCATGATTATTTTTATTTAATCCTCATCATCTGATTCTGAAAATCCAAAATCAGATGAATTATCATTACTATGGCCAAATATGATAAATGTTTTACATTAACATCCTATATTGAAGGAATTAATCCAATGCTTACCAAGTGTAAAATGTGCCAAAAAGTATTATATTGTCAAAATCTTTAGGTTCCAATTTAAAACGACATTTGATTTTAATATTAATTATTTGATTTTATATGATATGATATATATCAGCAACTATTGAAATAAAGAGAGAATTTACCCTTTAAAAAAAAAAAACTAAGTTAAATCATTAAATTTGAAAAAATAATGCATTTGGGATATTTGACCCCAACAATAACGATAGTTATTTTAAAATTAAAAAAAATAGTGGCCTTAAATATGGTCAACCATTGATAGACGCCGTATTAAATGGGATAAATAAAAGGTATTAAACCTATCACTCTCAATTAATTACATATATTTTATTTTTTTTAAACATTTGAACATATATATAAGGACCAATATGTTCTTTCTGCAATTATACATCCAGCATTCAAACTTCAATGGCCATAGATAAAACTTCCACAGAACGAACCTATTAAAAATAAACTTAGAGCGATATTAAAAAATATGCTTTGAAAACCTTAGAGAACTGTTAATTTCGAGATATCCTTTTTTTTGTCGAGAGTAGAGAATGAATCGGAGGAGGATAACTTATCTCAATTTTTTGCAAATAACAAAACAATATGTTTTTAATTAATAATATATTGTATTAACTTTTTTTGAATATGAACTTGAACGCGTTCGATTTTTGTCAATGAACGTTGAACGCGTTCGATTTTTTTAGAAATGTTTACAGCACTATTAAATCTCAATGTATTCCAAACTAGTGCATGCTCTGATTAAAAAACGCTTAGTTTCCCTTGGCAGCAATAACAAGGATAATCAGGAAAGAAATTCTTTATAAATGGTAAACTTAGACCTGTAACCCAAAATTAGGGTTCAGTAATTCTAAACTATTTTGCGGAAATTTTTATAACAAACTAATTTTCTTAAGGAGATTCCTTTCCGGTTCCAAAATACCCGAGTTATCCATATCGGTCCTTATTTGGTATGTGTTCTCAAAATGTATAACCATACAATTTTGAATTTGTGAACTCTAATTTGGGTTCATCGCCCGGGGAAAATGATTAAAAAACGATAGAGGAAGAAAATTGAAAACGATAATCAAAGAATTGATAAATACTACCCAAAGTCAAGAGTTCGCCTAAAAAAATTTTAAATAATTATATCATATATTTTTATATATAAAGGATAATATAAGCTATAGAAATATAAGGCATTCATATAAACAGTATGATTGGAGCCTATTATAGGGTTTAATTATTATTTTGGGGTCACTGGTATAGGTTAAACAATTCGCCGATATCGATACCGAGAATATCAGTGTATCTGTAGAATAGTATTAGTCTACAAAACATAAAATCTTAATTAATTTTAGCCACATATGTGGGGTTAAAAAAATAATAATTGCATAAAATTGTATCAGCGATTAAAAAAATCAATTGTTATCAGAAAAAGTTTGACTTATTATCTTTTAACTTTTTTTGGCAATTTTAAAAGCAAATTGATATAGTATCTGAGCCAGGATCTAATATTACGGAAGTCTATCGATTTTGCTTATAAGTGGCTGAAAGGTTTCGACTATAGTTAGGTAATTACTATATTTTTAGCCCTTTAATCCACTTTTAAGCCGGCTATAAAAAATCGACCAAACCAAATTTTTAACCAAAAACTATCATTTTGGCCTCGGTTTGGCCTCGGGGTATAAATTAAAACGTCTTAATGTTAACGGATTTTCTCTGGCAGGTACCTGAAGATTGAGCCAAATTAGCCGTTTAGCAATTACCCAACTATAGTTTCGACATCTATTAACAAAATCTCGAGGCTAGTGTAATATTTTAACTAAAATCTTTATTTAAATCTGCTAAATTGAGCCGTTTAACAACATTAGCCAGGACTGCCTCTTAAATGTTTCTATTTTATGCAATTTTTATTCATCATTAAATAAAATTTACATTTTATATTGCTTATATTATTCTTTATATTATATTATAAATCATAAAATAAAATCTTTCTAACATAGTGTTATATTATTAATTATATTTAACTCTTTGACTTGCAAATTTTTTTTTAAATGTACTAATTGACTCTCGGTAGTATTTGGTATTATGTATATTTGATTGCATTTACTTGTCCATGATTAATCCCAACAAAACAGATCCTATAACCCCGCCTACTTCAAAAAGTGCCGATATATTGCCAGCTTTAGTCGAAGAAAAATTGTTCTAGATAAAATATATATGGCTTCAGTAATATGAAATAAACGATTTTATTAACTAGTAACTTCAAAATCAACCTGAACCTGGACAAATTTTTTATATTGCCTTGAAAATATATCAATAAAATAAAAAACTCCCTTAAGATTAGTCTTTCCTAATCACAGAAATTTTTTTATTATATATTTTAAGCTTCGGATCAATGGCAGTCTGATGGAAGCTTGGTATTATTCAAGTAATCAAACGGGATATAAACATGACATGATTTATTAAAAAATATATATCATTTTTTGTGTATTACGATTTATACTTTATATTCGAGCAAGAAAGGTAACCACATGTAAAAGATGTATCTAATCATTTTGAGACAAAACATAGCTATCGAGAGGTGTAAGATCAACCTAAAAAAAATTGAGTGAAATTGTTATTTTTTTAAAATTATTTATTTTTTCCAACATTTCGTTTAAGTCATTATCAATTCTATTAACCCTACTTAATAGTAATTTAACATTTTTTAAACTTGTATACATATCTTTCTTTCAAAAAAAATTCAAAATAATTTTTTAATTTGATTTACTTATTAACAAGGTAAGATAAGAACATCAAATTTCCAATTAACCATTCCCAAAATTTTTTTTATAACGCTAAATATTCCAAATCATTTGTATTCTTTTTTTGAAAAGAAACTAAATTATTTCTAAAAAGGTAGTCCTTTTAATAGTTAATCAATTATTAAAATTATAATATTATATATTTTAAAAAGATAATAGTATAATGAGTCAAATTTTTTTGTAAATAGGAGAAAATTTTTTCTTTTTTAAACGATGACAATGAATTTGATATAGATCAGAGCTATCCTGCCCAGATTTAAATTTTTCCCCATCTTCTAACCTGGCCACCAGGAATTTGATTAATTTAATGGCCTGGTTCGAATTTTTACAATATAGTCAATATCATTTTGGTTGTATGAATGATTTCAAAAGAAAATTAAAAATACGAGATGCGAACAGCTTGATTTTAAGCTCATACCATTTTATAGCACGGGTTTCAGGTATTAGATTATAGATATTTGATAAAACCAGAAAGGTTAATTCAATGATAATTATTGTTATGGTTAAGACGAAATATGTTTTTTAAAAAATTATTATTATAATAACAAAAAAATATACGGAACATTCCAGAAAAGAAGTAGGGATTTTTTAGCGTGAACCCAAAAAGATTTCTTGATTTCGGGTGAATGAAGTACTGGGGATAAAGCATCGTCTATCATAAAACATAAATACTTATTTCATTTTTAAATTTGTTAAAAATTAAAGTATGTTTTTTCTTTCTCCTCGATCAACCCTACTTCTTGTTTTCATAAATATCTCTTTTTTATGCATATCATAGGTAATACGGGAGTCCTTCAAGGTCATATTATTCCCTATTTCAGCGATTTTAAAAGATTCCATCAGTTTTTTCATCCGCCACTTGAAAAAGAGCAGCAAAGACAATCCCATTCCTATCTATATAATATATTTTTTTTTAAGAAACATTAAGGAACAATGAAATACGTAAAAACAACGTAACAATTCTGATAAAATATATAATTATTATATTATATTGTTTATATCTTCCTATAATAGAATATTGGTGAAAATGTAATCTACCTTATTTTACCAATTGTAAATGAACAAAGAATCTCTTTGATAAAAAGGTCATTCTATTGTATCTATAGAAGTGGCCAACTTGTGAAGAATTAAAAAATAAAAGTCATACTATGAGAACGGAGGGAATTGGGTATACCCATCTCCAGGATAAACGATCTTTAATGAAAACCTAGCATATCGTAGTTATTTTTTAATATATAAATAGTAAAGATAAATTAGTTAAAAAAATATATATTTCATTCATTTCTCACATGTATTATGGGATAATTAACTAGTAATTGAATTAATATCAATCCAAATTTAAAAATCTATTTTCCTCTCCTTTAAAACTTAATTGGTTTTTAAGGGGCAGATATTTCTATATTATGTATTATGTAAATGTAAAAAATTTTAGAGATGTAAAAAAAATAATTTCGGTACGGGCTATTCGAGCCTAATATTTTTAAAAAAAATTTGGGTCGGGTCGTGCTTAAATATTTAAATATGATATCATTATATTTTGTTAAATAGCTTGATTTAATTTAAATCCTGCAAGAAACAAGGTGCTAATATTTATTTTTTTTACAATAAAAGAAAAATTAAATTTTTCTATATTTAAATAAATTAGGGCTAGGTCAACAAATAATTTTTATTTTTGGTAGGGGTTTTCGGGACAAATAAAAAAATATTCGTTTGGAATCGGGCAGGGAAGACGGCCGGGATTGAAAAATTAGGCCTGATGCAGATCACTAGTAGCTATGGTATTTTTACTAGATAAACTATATACCATATAGAAGTCTCTTTTTTTAATATTAAAGATAAACAAATTAAAATTACTTGGAAAGAGATAAATTTCGGCTGAGTTTAAGTAATTACATAATTTTCAAGAAATGAGGGTTTTTTAAATTAAAAATAAATATGATTTATAGGTCTTAAATGACAACTTGTTAACCCACATGAATTTAATATATCATAATATAATATATCTTTAATTAATATATATATTTTAATATCAGTTTTTTAAAAATATCAAACGGATAAAAAAGTTCCAAGGGTTCCGCCAGCGAATGTCGACGTGCCAAATATTCCCAGCACGAAATTTTTGTTGTTAGAATTTTCGAACAAAATAGACACTATCTTGATGGAGAGAGGCCAACAGAAGGCCTTTTTTTTGTTTAAGGATGAATAATATATATTTAAATAAATACATAGTTATTATCGAATTATATTATCAATATTGTTTTACTATTAAAGCAATAAAATATTCTTCTAAAATTCAAATTATTTTCTAACCATTAGTCAAAAAAAAGTTTTAATGTTCAAATTTTGCGTTTTGATTTCGGGTTTCAAATATCTTATTCTATTTTCAGGGAACGAATACGAATATTGTGTTATTCACATTCGATTCAAATTATTCGAATAATTAATTTTTCTTAAATATTATAAGATAATTCATGGTTAAACATGACATATTTTTTATTGCACATCTAATTCTAAACAAAAAAAATTTCACAAGTAGTTGATGTATCTTATTAACAACAACACTTGTCAGATTGATAGGTTATGAATACAAATGACAAATGATTAAATTTTAATAAAAACAGATAAATAATTATTTCGAATAATTTGATTCGAATAGCCGAGTCATTCAAATACTCAGGCCGTGCCCTGGTTAGTTTTATTTTTCTAACTCATTTCTGTTCAGACCAGTCTATACAGATTTTGAATTAGGACACCCCATTTTTGTTTTGTTAGAGGAAGCTATATAGATGGCTAAACAGACGTCTGCTTAGAAATAAGAGGAGTCTGGACAGGGCCTTAAGACTTTTGATGCAATTAAGTTGTTTGCCGGACAATTCCACCAAAAATAGATTAGAGGTAACAAAAGGTAAAATAGACAGCTTAGGATGTAGGGTAAATTAAAAAAAATTACCTGAAAAGTTCCATTGAGGAATAGGAATATGACGAGCGAATAGAGCTGATCCAAAGGTCCCATAAAGAGTGTGGAAAAGCCAGAACTCAAAATGCAAATTATCAAGAGTTTGGTGGGATTGATCGAGTCCCCTAGATTACCTAAGACAATCTGAAATTTTTATAAACGTATTATTATTTTTTTGGTTGGGCCAATACCGTATTAGTTTATCGGATAAAAAGATGAGTGCAATCTTATTAATTTTTAAATAGCCGATATGGAATTAGAAAGTTTCTAATAAAAGTCTAATGAATAATATATCGTTTTCTCTACATAAAAAATTAATTTAATATTATATAATTTTCATCGTCAAGTATTCAAAATACAACTGATTCGAAGATTTCGCGTAATCAGAAGGATGGGGGGAGTACGAGAGATCCTCCTCTCCACTTCGGAAATTTGACTTTTACCCTAAATATCATTTTGAGTTAGCAAAAAATCCTCCTTCCAAAAAATGCATACAATATATCACTTAGATGTGTTTTATTGTTTCAAATTTAAACAATTTCTTGAGTGCGTTTTTTTAAATTTAAAAATCTGATTTTACCAGAAATGTATTCCAGCATGTTTAAAATAAGCTATATTTGAATTGTAGACAATTTTGCCATTAAGCTTTGAGTCATTTATAATTTACATAAAAAAATCTATGGAAAATTTATATAAATTAATTAAGTTCAAAAGTTCATGGCAAAATTATCGGAAATTAATAGGGTAAGTATTCCAAACACGAAGAAATACATTTCCGGTAGAATCAGATTTTTAAATTTCAAATAACGCTCTCAAAAAAATGTTTTTATGTTGTAAAAATAAACATAAATTATAATTTGCAAGAAAAATAAGTGTTAATATTTTTTTTACAATAATAACATAATTTAAAAAAAGGGGAAAACTAAAAATTATTTTTATAAAAATATATCATGCAAAACTCCAATAAAATTTTATTAAAAAATCTCATAACTTTTATGCAAATACACGTAATAACTTTATATTTGTTATTCACAATTTGCTTGAGGGGGGTAGGGGGATAATTTTTATAAAAAAATCTAAAATTCACCTTGAAGTTATTATTGAACATCTGAAATTTAATAAATTTATTATGGCTAGTGACTAAAAAATTGACAATTACTTAATACCTATATAATCTGTATATTTATCAAATATAACTTTAGGCACAAGATTGTTCAAATTTTCATTTAAATGATATTTAAGCCTTTTTCTGCTTTTTCAACCTTAAACCCAGAGTTGTCAAATATCTAGATACAAAAATGTGGCATTGTGTTATTATACTTTTATAAAATAGTATCTGTACTCGATACTATTTAGAGGTATCTATATTTATTCTTAGACACATTTCGACATCATTATTCTTAATAGGAATTATGCACACTTTTCATAATTATATTAAAATCCGATATTAAATATAGGGTCGGCACCGATATTTTTTAAAGACCCGATACTAGTGTTGTTAAACGGCTCGATTTGAGCCGATTTTTAAAAACGGCTAACTCAACATTGTAGCCAGGAAAATTTTGCCTAAGCGTCGAGATTTCGCCAATAGATGTTCAATCCTATGTGCCATCTATGAGCAAAATCTTTAGACTTGCATGATATTTTTCTGTAAAATATTGAATTAGCCGTTTTTAAAAATCGGCTTAAATTGAGTATATTATTTTGGGTTATTTTAAGATTGTATATATAATCATATAATTTATTTTATAAATAATTTCTTAATAAGTTAATTAAAGGAATTAAACAATTTATTAGTTGAAATGTTTAAAAAATTAATTTAAAATTTTACATTATTTTTTGCTATATTATTTACAACAAGAAAAGGATTTTAAAATATCTAATGTTAGTGTTGTTAATAGTATTGTTAAACGGCTCGATTTGAGCCGATTTTTAAAAAAGGCTAACTCAATATTTTAGCCAGGAAAAATTGTGTAAGCCACAAAATTTCGTAATAGATGTCCAAACCTTTGTGTCACACATGAGCAAAATCTTTAGGCTTGCATAATATTTTTCAGAATAAAACATTGAGTTAGCCGTTTTTAAAAATCGGCTCAGATCGAGCCGTTTAACAACACTAGTTGCTAAACAGCTTCATTTAGCCCATAAAACGGTTAACTCAAGATTTTGGCCAAAAGTATATTAATCAAGCTTATTAATTTTGTCATGTTTGTTTGGATACATATATATTTTTAGACGTTGTATTTGTATTTAGATCCATTTGAAAAGTATCTTTCAACAATTCTGCTTAAAACAATATATATTTTTTAGTTATCATTTTTATATGATATAAATGTTTATTTTTACTTTATTAATTTTTGAAAAGGATCTCAAATTAGTGGAAAATTAATAAATTATAAATTTTTATTTTATTTAATAATTTTTTAAAACATTCAATAAATTAATGTTAACGTTTGATTATTTTATATTATAAATTAATATTTTCTAAAATTACTTTTAAACAATATATAATCAAATTATCTTAAAAGACATAATAGATATTACAAAAAAATTCATGATTTTCATTAGTTTTGTTAAACTAATCGATTAGAACCGGTTTGCTAACTCAATATTTTATCCAGAAAAATATTACGCAAGCCTATGATTTTGGACATAACTAAATCTCGATGCATAGGCAACATTCTGGATAAAATATTGAGTTGGCCGTTTAAAAACACTATAAAAACATAAAAATTCACTTCATGATTCTAAGAGGGCATTATACAAGTTTTTATTCGAAACGCTCCTTTATATCTCTTAACCTCTCATTTCTGCATAAAATGTATTGCAATTTTTATCTTGTTGGCGATCTTATTTAAATTTTTTTTAAAAATACAATATATATTTCTACTACAGGTATTTTATAGCTAAAATTTCCGCATAATTCTTTTTTTTTCTAATAGACTGTGCAATCTCATAATATATTATAGTATAATTTATTTTATAATATTATCAAATATGAACATTAGATTAGATTTGTGTATTAAATTTACTTTTCTTTTAAATGTATGTTATATTCCATATCCAATCAACTGAAGATTCAACCCGACCCTATTCTATTTTTTTACAAATTTGTATGATGGTAAAAATATAAAATCTAAATTCCCAACTCAGCTTCCTTCATGAGATATAGCCACTTTAGAAACGCGAAAATTCCAAAATAGACTATATTTAATTTTAAAAATATCTCAAAAACTAATTAAACGTAAAACATAAGCTCAAGAATAGACATTTACTTTATTGAAATAAGTCTTACCAAAAACCGGAAATGCATATAAAATAAAAATTGTTCTTTTTTCTAAATTTTTTTTACAGATATACCTTATACTTCCTAATAGTAAGAGTATTGGACCAATTAGTTATTACACTTTAAATATAAGTAATAGAGCTAAAATCGTTCATAAATTTGCAAGTGTTTTATTTGTTAATACATTAAAAACAAAGATAGTGGTATAATAAATAAGTTAGAAGCGTTAAAAAAAATAGAAAAACCTCATTTATGTAGTAGAAGAAAAATTTATTAATTAAAATAAAAAATTTCTCATAAAACTTTTAATTACAAAAAATAATTATTTAAATTTAAAATGTTTAAATATTAATAATATTTTATCCAATTGATAGTTTTAGAAATTCCTCTTATTTAATAATCAAAATATTCCCACATATTCATCATAAATATTTGATAATTCCTATTTATCTAATTATTCTTTTTCCATTCCAGCATTTTCGCAATCTGCCATTAGTGCCAATTCTACATTAATAAACCCTATAAACTCATCCCCAATTCAAAACCCAAAAAGAAAATATAATTGTGAATAAAGAGAAAATTGAAATAGTAACTAAATTGTTATCCCAACAGCCAGAAATGAAAAGAATGAAAATAAAGGATATTGCTAAACATATTGATATGTCAATAACCTAGGTAAACATATTAAGGCAAGAAACCTTTCCAGAATTTATAGGCAAAAAAAGGGATGCAAAAAAAGAGATTCACCCGAAATCGAAAGAAATGTGATAATTTTTTTAATGGATAACAACAGGTCTACTATCAAAGATATCAGAAAATTTGCCTCCAAGTTTCCCCCAAAATGAAGAGACCATCCAAAAATATATTTAAAAAAATAGGATGGTCTAAAAAGGGCTGGGAAAAAGCCCAATCGACGAAATACACCAGGAGCAGTTCATATTCTCCAGACTTACTGCCTTAAAATGCTAAACATTCGTAAGAAAAAATGTTCTTTCTGGATGAAACAGTCATAAACCTACATATTAAACCTGTGTATGCTTGGGCCCCCTACAATGTCACACCAACTTGGATAGTTCCACCAGGCAAGAACGTAGGAATTGGGGGCCTTATAATGTATCGAATTGAAGGACCCTAAAATGGGTTGCTTTTTCTTGATTATCCGAGAATTAGTAACAATTCTTCCAAATGATATAATGCCGCAATACACAAGTGCCATCTTATCGATAGCTAAAAAAATCGAATTGAATATCTTCCGCCATATTCACCTCAAATAAATCCTATTGAAATTTTTTTCGGGGTCATGAAAAACAAATACTATACCAAGGCCAAACAATAGAGATCAAATCGTAAATAATGTTACTTCGATATTAAATTGGTTTATACCGTACTACAAATTTTTATAATCAATCATATGCATGATTTTTGGAAATTGATTATAGGGGACAACCAATCAATTAAAGGTAAGGATGTACCGATATTTTTTATTAGATCGGGCCGATATTTTACGCACTTTAAAATATCGGTTATCAGCCTATATTATGAAACTTACCGATCCGATAAAAAAATGGCGTTTGTTATAAAATTTACACAAAAAGTTATATATAAAAAATAGTGCTGTAAACATTTTTAAAAAAATCGAACGCGTTCGCGTTCAACGTTCATTGACAAAAATCGAACGCGTTCACGTTCAAATTCAAAAAAAGGAACGCGTTCAAGTTCAAGAACGCGTTCATACGTTCAAAATTTTATGATAAATTTTTTTTAAAATTTAATTTAATATAAATAAATGCCTTATATTTTTCAACACAATATATTAGCCATGATAAAAAATAATAGTTTTATTTTGATAATATAATTA